CTGGTGAATCGTCTCACGGCGCATCTCTGGCCTGTACCCCAGTTCTGTATGCATAAATAAATAAATCTTAAAAAAAAATGGCATTTGACTTTTTTTCACAATGAACTGAAGGAATGAGACCAGAAGCTTTCTATATCCAAGAAATAGAAGAAATGAGAAGGGCTGAAAAAACAAGTGGCATCTTCTGACCTGGTATCTGATATGTGCTGGAAGGGTAAGCAGGTTCTGGTTTTGGAGACAGGATGATGGGATGCCAGGCATGATGAAGACACAGAAGAAAAGCTGGAATGGATAGAGGCACAAAACATTTTAGAACACTTTCATCCTGGGTTTTTATCATTTATTGGCTATGAGGTCAAGAATAAACCCTTCACCTCCATGTAAAATTAAGAAAATGCTATTGACTTTATAGAGAGCTCATACAGGGTCAATATAATCAAATTGTTTCATAAAGTAAACAAAGGCTGTTCAATTCTCAGGCCATATAAGTACCTATTTATTAGTAAAGATTTATTTATTTATGCATACAGAACTAGGGTACAGGCCAGAGGTGTATGTGTGTGTGTGAGAAAGGATTCACCAGAGACAGAGTGGGTAGTGAACAGGTGTATCTACTGAAATACACTGCTGAGGGGAGCAGCAGGCAAAACAGGAGGGGTCTCCTGTGCCACGTGGGTCACCTGCCTGGCCAGAGATCAGACTCCATGCAGGGGCTGCCAATAGCTTCATAGCGCTGTCCCCTAGCCCCCATGGGACACGGGGATGCCCGTAAGTAGCTGTTATGTGAAAGTGACTTTTAGGGCTGTAGAAGACATCAACCCCAAATGTCTCCCAGCTAAGCACTACCAGCCGATCCCCGGGTATTAAAAATGCCTAATTAACTTTCTTGCAACTAGACGGTGAATTTCCTAAAGATAGAGACATGGCCCTCCTTGTATCTTTTGAAGGGGTGGGTCAGCATTTCCCTGCTCATTTTTTTCTCTCATTTCCAGGCTGTCTTCACCATTTAGTATTTTTTGTCTAGTCCTCAGCTGCCAGAAGCCCTGCTTTGGGGAACGAAACAGGAGCTTTGTATGCAGACAGAGGTGGATTCCAATCCTAGGTCTAGGTAGCACCTCCTCCCAGTGTAAAACAGTTTAAACTTTCACAATGTTAAGAAATCGAACCCTTAGGTTGTACACCTGAAACTAGTAAATTGTTCTTTCTATGTGAGTTAACTCATATAAAAACCAAACAAAATAATTCACACAGAAATAGAAACCGCTACTTTATCACTCTCAAGGACAGAGATACAGAGATTAATAGGTGCGTGATACCTAAAAGCGACGCATCTTTGCAATCGGTAAAACTGCAAGCTTATCATTTGCGGAGATTTTGGCTTTAAAGCTCTCCGGCCCTTTAAGGCTGAGTCATCCGGACCCACCGCTCCGCCCTCCCCGGGGCTGGGGTTAGGGATGGCAGCAGGC